CACAGGACAATTATGTCTTCTCTGCATGTGTACACGCACACACACATGCACACTCACAGGACAATTATGTCTTCTCCTCATGTGCACACGCGCACACACGCGCGCACACACACACTCACACACAGGACAATTACGTCTTCTCTGCATGGGTACACGCACACACACACTCACACACGCACAGGACAATTATGTCTTCTCCTGTGCACACGCGCACACACGCACACTCACACACAGGACAATTACGTCTTCTCTGCATGTGTACACGCATACACACACTCACACACGCACAGGACAATTATGTCTTCTCCTGTGCACACGCGCACACACGCGCACTCACACACAGGACAATTATGTCTTCTCTGCATGTGTACATGCACACACACATGCACACTGACAGGACAATTACGTCTTCTCTGCATGTGCACACGCACACACACACACACACACTCACACACAGAGGCGCACAAACATGCATAGGGCAATTATCTCATGTCTTCTCTGCAAGTGCACACACACATACTCACACACAGAGGCACACACACATGCATAGGGCAATTATCACGTGTTCACTGAATGTACACACACACAAATGCACACACATGCATAGGCAATTATCTCATGTCTTCTTCTCAGCATGCATACACACACACACACACACACACTCTCTCTCTCTCACACACACACACACACACACACACACATCAACACCATTCCTTCACGTCCTCATTCTCCTTTGCATGTCGTGCTTACATATAAACTCACAGACGTGCACGCACACAGGCTCCGCACACGATCCCACACCTTCACTCCCCTCTGCATGTCCAGATGCCCACTCCTGGGGGGCTGGCATCTCAGCAGCGCCGAGGCCACGGCTCTTCCAGCTGATGGGTCCTCACCGGGGACCGGGATCGCCTGTGGCTGAGGTCGGTGGGTAATTCACACCGTTCCTCCTGCACCCCCACACCTTCCTAACTCCAGGGGTGCCCCCTCCTCCTTTATAAAGCTGCTCGGCTAACGATGCACATCTTGAGCGTTTACACCTGCAGACTCCGAGGACACGGGACCTGCTTTCACAGGGAGGCCCGCGGGAGCCGGGTGATTTGGGAATCCTCTAACGGAGTCAGCCAGCTCCAGTCCGGGGCTTCCCGCTCTTACGCCTTACGATCCAGTGCCTTCTTCCTCACGCAGGTGGACGACACAGTGACCGCAGCAACGGGCTCGAGCGGGTCAAAGACTGTGACAGTGGCACAGAGAAGTAAAGTTCACAGGACCGCAGAGTTGTACTCAACTTGACAGCACATGTTAATAACAGCAGTATCTTATTCCAGAGTAATATGAAAGTAAATATCCAAATGATACATTATCTGGACCCCCCAGGCTCTCCATGGAGAAAGCTGTGGCCCGCAGCCTCCACACAAGAGGGGGTGCAAGCATCAGCAAATCCCGACAGCCCAGCTCGCAGCACGCGGCCTAACACCTCGAGGTACGAAGGATGCTCATGGCGGGTTCCTTGTCACCCACTCACACTGGGCGTCAAGGACTGCCTCATACGCGTGGAGTGTTCCTAATTCTACCTGTTGTTGTTGTTAAATGCTGTTGAGTTGAGCATGACCCAAAGGGGCCCTATGAACAAAAGATTTGAACCCTCCATACGATTTCAATCTATATACAGAACAGATCATCTGGGAGGCTGGGCTGTACGAGGAGGAATGTGGCATCAGAATTGATGGAAGATTCAACAACCTGCTTTATGCAGATGACACAACGC